CATGAATTGCTTTTAATTTTAACTGATGTACTGAAAGGCACGATATGTGTCCAAGAAGAGTTAACGCTTGACAAATTTATACATTTCTCTTGGTTTCAAGACTCCAAATACAATTTGTAAACACATATTTACACATGTTAAATAGAGAGCAATCCATTTATGATATTTAAAATAAAGGTATATTTTGGATCAAAATATATTTTTTAAATTCAATATTTCATCGAGGCTGTTCTCCTATCTTCTCGGAAAATTTCAAAAACCTTGTAAGCTTTTCCGAGAAGAAGATAGGCGAACAGCCTCGTCGAAATATTGAATTTTAATAAATTTATTGATCCAAAATATGCTTTTATTTTAAATATCTACACATGTGGAAAATAATTCTACATTTAATATTTTACACAAATAAATTTACTGGCAATGTGTTTCTTTTAAATATCATCAAATATTATGGGGGGTCGGTGGAAGGCTGGTTAAACCGTTTGGTTTACGACCACTACGACCCGGGTTCGATCCCCGCATTGGACACTTTTTTCTGTTTAAAAAAAAAAATGCTCCAATGGCCCCCCGATTCTTGCAAAAGTCCAACCCCACCAGCGAGTGCAAGTAACCAAACGGGGCTCTGGCACATTTGTAAGTGCAAAGTCGAACTGCTTTCACATGTGTAGACATGTGGTGCGCTTACAGTAAAAACAGTCGCCTACTTCTACCCACCATGATTATCATGGCCTGTACCACGTGTACTAGGGATAAGCAAAAAAAAAAAAAAATCAAATATTATCTCTACAGACCTTACTGCAATGATATGAGTTATTGAATGAGAGGGCTTGGCTCATCAGTAGTGAACCCTCTCAGCGGTTTCGCCAAATTAATCTCTAGACTACTATTGTATTGGAATATACCCTGTATTTTCTATGGAAGGCAGCTTAGGGGTGTTTAGTGAACTATGGACATAAGCTTATAGGTCTGTAAAGGTATATACATATAATTTCAAGGTATTGCATCGAGCATTATACTAATGTATTGGATTTTTGTACGAATCGGGAGGCCATTAAAGTAATTTTTTTTCTACAGGAAAAAAAGTGCCCAATATAGGATTAAATCCAGGGTCGGGGCTATTCAAAACCGACAGTTTATTCCACTCCTCTATCTATCCCCTATACAGACAAAAAAGGTTCCCAGGTCGGGAATCGAACCTGGGTCTTATAAGTTAAAGATAGATAGCATAGCCACTAGACTACATCCAAAATGATTAAGAGCTATAGTATAAAGACGGTTTAAAAATGACAAAGAATGACAAAAAGATAAGTGTAGGTTGTAACCTCGGGATATAAAAAACAATAGTTTTTTAAAAAATAGTCTAAAAATAGAAAAGTCACAAAACAATTGTCTTCACGAAAGTCAAAGCGATATATTTAGTGACAGTCACGCCATGTCTGGACTACAAGGGGGACACAGAACCACTTCGCATCTATCTCTCCTAGACTCTGTCTGTAAACGTGTTTGGAATTTTTATTTTCATTTTCCTTCATTGTAGCAATAGGAATTTTTACATAAAAAGTTAGACATAATCTACTTATTTGATGGAGAAAGACAAAAATGGACAGTTTCATTTACATGTTTATTATCTTGTTTGATAAAGGGGATTATCCGAAAGCCTGTAGTTAAAGGAGGTAGAAAGTCTTTGATGTCGCCGGTCGTCTGCTATTTTTTGAAGGAGACAGAGAAAATTTTGTTCACACTTGGTTATCTCTCGTGTCTTCAATAAAGGTCACTGTAATATCCTTCAGAGTTATTGTCTGAATCCCGATTTACATGCTAAAAGGTACAACTTCCTTAAATTTTGTCCATGAGTGTATCTTTCATAGTTATTGTCTGAATCCCCGATATACATGCTAAAAGGTACAACTTCCTTAAGTTTTGTCCATGAATGTATCTTTCAGAGTTATTATCTTAATCCCGATATCTACTTATATAATTGCCTTATTCTGTCTGTCTGAAGTTCACGGATAGAATGCGCGCCCATTGGCTGCCGGCGAACACGTGAGCGGCCACTCTAGACAACCCTGTTATCAGCAGTGTGTTACATCCACCTGTCTATACAGACCACCCTGTCTATAGCGGCCACTCTAGACAACCCTGTTATCAGCTGTGTGATACAGACCACCCTGTCTATAGCGACCACTCTAGACAACCCTGTTATCAGCTGTCTACTTATATAATTGCCTTATTCTGTCTATCTGAAGTTCACGGATAGAATGCGCGCCCATTGGCTGCCGGCGAACACGTGAGCGGCCACTCTAGACAACCCTGTTATCAGCAGTGTGTTACATCCACCTGTCTATACAGACCACCCTGTCTATAGCGGCCACTCTAGACACCCCTGTTATCAGCAGTGTGTTACATCCACCTGTCTATACAGACCACCCTGTCTATAGCGGCCACTCTAGACAACCCTGTTATCAGCTGTGTGATACATACACCTGTCTATACAGACCACCCTGTCTATAGCGACCACTCTAGACAACCCTGTTATCAGCTGTGTGATACATCCACCTGTCTATACAGACCACCCTGTATATAGCGGCCATTATAGACAACCCTGTTATCAGCTGTGTGATACATACACCTGTCTATAGCGGCCATTCTAGGCAACCCTGTTATCATCAGTGTGTTACATCCACCTGTCTATACAGACCACGCTGTCTATAGCGGCCACTCTAGACACCCCTGTTATCAGCAGTGTGCTACATCCACCTGTCTATACAGACCACCCTGTCTATAGCGGCCACTCTAGACAACCCTGTTATCAGCTGTGTGATACATACACCTGTCTATACAGACCACCCTGTCTATAGCGACCACTCTAGACAACCCTGTTATCAGCTGTGTGATACATCCACCTGTCTATACAGACCACCCTGTATATAGCGGCCATTCTAGACAACCCTGTTATCAGCTGTGTGATACATACACCTGTCCACTGACAAATCCACTGACACCTCCCTGCCCCCCCCTCCGTTCTAGACAACCCTGTTATCAGCTGTGTGATACATACACCTGTCTATAGCGGCCATTCTAGGCAACCCTGTTATCATCAGTGTGTTACATCCACCTGTCTATACAAACCACCCTGTCTATAGCGGCCACTCTAGACACCCCTGTTATCAGCAGTGTGCTACATCCACCTGTCTATACAGACCACCCTGTCTATAGCGGCCACTCTAGACAACCCTGTTATCAGCTGTGTGATACATACACCTGTCTATACAGACCACCCTGTCTATAGCGACCACTCTAGACAACCCTGTTATCAGCTGTGTGATACATCCACCTGTCTATACAGACCACCCTGTATATAGCGGCCATTCTAGACAACCCTGTTATCAGCTCTGTGATACATACACCTGTCCACTGACAAATCCACTGACACCTCCCTGCCCCCCCCCCCCCCCTCCGTGAAAATGGAATCGCCCGGCTGCCAAGGTTGGCCAGTTCACCGCGCGCGGTCCTGGCGCGCGGGGGCAGAGTTGGTGACACAGCTGTGCCAAGTGCCAAAAAAAGCCTCGCGGGTGACCTCCGGGAACTACGTCCATCTTCCATATGTAAAATACATTTAATCGTGTAAACCCGGGCGTTGCCCGGGTCATTCGTCTAGTACATAATAAAAGTACAACTTCCTTAAGTTTTGTCCATGAGTTTATATTACAGACTTATTATCTTAATCCCGATATACATGATAAAAGTACAATTTCCTTAAGTTTTGTCCATGAGTATATATATTTAAAAAAAAGACCAGTTGAAGAATGTTGGACTCGAAAGCTTGAATTTTAAATGGTGGAAAGAGAGGATACAAGTTGTTCTCTGAGGGGAGAGTAGGTTTATATCAGCAGTTAAAACCTGGGTTCGAGAGTATATTGAACACCTCTCTCCAAATTCCCACCAATCTACGTCACCCTATGGACGAGAGTAAATATTGTTATGCAAATCACAGAAGATTGGGTGAGCCCGAGGACACAATACGTTCCAGAGAACATCTATCTATATTGGAAAGATTATTCCATCACTTCTTGCTGACAGAGATTCAAATGTTTTATCTTAGAGTTTCCTCCATAGATAAAACTTGATGCAAATTCATAACGTTACTCTTTGTATATTTAATTTTCATTGCTATATGTAAATATTTATATGTAATTCTACTAGCCTAAAAGATAATGTCCATAGTTTGTTTAAATAGCATTTCTAAGATTCACCCTTTAGTGTTACGTATATAAGCAGAATGATCCAATACAGTACAATATAATACACTGCGGCCTGTGATTGTAAAACGACACTTTAAGTTACACCGCATGAGTTTCTTTTAAACGAAAAATCAAATTTTTATTTCAAGGTAAAATATCGACTATTTTAAACCTTTTTGGATGAGGTATGAAAGGGTGAATTATGAAGAGTAATAACGAACGGAAAAATAAAAGTGTCTAGGGATGGGAATCGAACCCACAATGTTCCGCTTACCGGGCAGATGCCATGTCCACTAGGCTACCCTGGACGTATTTTTCCGTTCGTAAATGATACATAAAGTAACTTATAATACAATATAATACACTGCGATCTGTGATTGTAAAACGACACTTGAAGTTACACCGCATGAGTTTCTTTTAAACGAAAAATCGTATCGAAAAAAATACAGTATTAGAGCTCTAAAGAAGTGGTCTGGTAGATTTAATCGGCGAAACCGCTGGGAGGGTTCATTAATGATGAGCTAAGCTCTTGCAATATTTTTATCGCAGTAAGATAGTAGAGATTTGATTTAAGTGTAAAAGAAACATTCGCGTTTTAATGTTTTCATTTGTAAAACGAAAATTGCAATTATACCGCGAATGTTTCTTTTATACAAAAATCGAAATTTATTTTTAAAGAGAAATAGCGACTATTTCTAACTTTAAGGATGAAGTATGATAGGATGAATTGTGAAGAGTAATGACGAACGGAAAAATAAAAGTTTCCAGGGGTGGGAATCGAACCCACAACCTTCTGCTTACCGGGCAGGTGCCATGTCCACTAGGCTACCCTGGACGTATTCATCCTATCATACTTCATCCTTAAAGTTAGAAATAGTCGCTATTTCTCTTTAAAAATAAATTTCGATTTTTGTATAAAATAAACATTCGCGGTATACATGGTAAACGGTTTGCGGATTTCGACAAATTAGAAAGAAGGAATCATATATCGCCGCAACTCTTTTTATTATTATAGCGGTTAAGGAAGCTTAAACGAGGGCGATAGGGGCGTGGTAAATTTCTTTTCGTTTATTTTGATTTATATTAAAAACGATATATAATATCTCTTTAATTGTACAATATAATTAGCTGAAGAAGGGCTTGCCCGAAAGCTTCCTTAACCGCTATAATAATAAAAAAAAAGAGTTGCGGCGATATATGATTCCTTCTTTCTAATTCGCGGTATAATTGCAATTTTCGTTTTACAATCATCAGCCGCGTTATATTGTATTTTTAATGTTTTCATTTGTTATATATAGATGGCGCGTTATTGCTTCATATATTTAAAAACTATTTCAACAGAACTGTTATGAACATATTTTTTCCCAATAATTTTTCATTGCAGTAAGGACAGTAGAAGTTTGCTTTGTGTATAAAATTAACATTCATGATTAAATCACTTCATTTTATATAGAACTGTTAAAGTAATATAAAAATTTAAAATAGAAAGATTAAGTGCATCGTTCTGATGTATAAGTAAAGGGATAGGTGCTTCTTATGGTACATATGTATATATGTATATTGTTGCATCATGATTAATGTGCGTATTATAAAAATTATTTATAATATTATTTTTAGAATATTTAAAATTTAAATTATATATTTATTTATTTTTATAAAACAGATTATTACTCTAAAATATTATGTACTATAAAACATTTGTATTTTGATACACTGAATACCCCACCTGCTTTAAACTTTGATGTGATAAATAAAGAGATATTCTAGGTGTTACCTAAATATATAGTTGTCTTATTATTGACTGGTTTAACCTTGTAAGATGGTTGAGACACGTTCTGGAAAGATGCAAGACATGTCTGAGGAGAGAATCAAGACTGAAGAATCTGTCAAACCGCAGCCTGGTGTAACAATATTTATGTGTGTATAGGGAGAGAAAGTATTAGATATTAATGAAAAACAAATGACCGTTAAAAATATAATTACAAATACTTTTGATATGTAATAATTCAACGATAGTTTAAATCTAATATTTTAAAATTAAATGACGAGATACGCCTATATATCATTATAATTTATAATATTTCGTAAAACAAATATATATATAATTTAATAAAACATAAATTAAGGTTAATATAAAACAAAATTTATTCAAAAAGAAATTGGAAGCAGTAATTTTTCATCCTAAAAATGCCCTTTTTTATCTGACACCACTATAATATTTATGTCTGGCAAACAAAACTTTCCTAGGTCCTAAGTCAGTTTCTACTTTTTTTTATTATTCTTTATTCACTCACAGAGTAATTAGGCAGTCACAGAGAGCGACCTCTGACATATACTTCTTCTTTTTATTATTATTTTCTTTATTCTCTTTTTTTCTTCTGCGAATTTCAAAACATAACTATATGATTGAAATATTTTCATTATTACCGTTTGTATCCCTAATTACATATATAGAGGGTTAATTATATATACTAATTACTGTTTTATTTATTACCTTTATATAGAATGATTAATTAAAGTAGTCTCTCTCTTCCTGGATATAATTATTTTTAAAATTAACTATGATATATATATTATAAAATAAAATAAAATTATTTTCTGCTGATTTTGATAATCTTGAGGATTATGCTATGGAGTTATTTGCTGGTTCTTTTTATTACTGAATGGTATTGGTGATGTAGTCGTGGCAAAAATCTTGAAAGTATAATAATAAAAATAGTGAAGATTAGAAATAGCTTTTATTGAGCTTATGGAATATAGAAAACATAATTTTAATAAGGTATGCCTGACTTGAGACGTAAGAATGAGAATAAATGAAAACCTTATTTACATAATGTACAAAAGATTTGAGCCGGCCAACGAGAAACAACAACAATCGGTTTTATATAGGGAAAACTGCGATATCTGATGGTAAACTTAACAGAGTAATTTGACCTGGAAATTATAATTTTAAAATTAAATAACATTTATATATATTCGAATTTATTTATATATCAATTTCTATATAAAATTTAAAATTGAAAATTCTTTTTTTTTTGACATTCGATTAATTTTTGCAAATATGATTATTTATGATTAAGTTCGAGTATGAGATATTTTGAAAATGAAAATAATGAAAAAAACTTATGCTATAAAGTAAAATATGTGTTTTGGGGGATTTTCCGTTTGGTTATAAAACAAAATACATTTGCAAGATAGATTGATTAAAAAATTCGGTTCAAATAAAACTATGAAAATTATAAACATATTTTTAACGCTATTTTTCTTTTAAATATAATTAAAATTTATTTATACAGCCTTTATCCTGGTATATATATCCTATTGGTTAATGTAGCAGTAATTTTTCCAAATCAACTTACAACCAACAAGTGATATTCAGAAATATCATGTAAGGTAAACTGAAGCAAGAAGTTGAATATTCTTTGAGTGTGAAAGCTTGTAAAGAAAAATAGGAACTTACCCTCTACCATTAATTTATTTATTTTTGCTTTGTCGTCTGTTTTGCACAAGTTAAATCTGGTTAGAACGATGTATGTAAATTAGATGATTCTTTTGTTGCCTTAAATACGAGGTAATTAACTCGTTTCTCTCTCTATATCTAAAAATGTTTAAAGTTTAATAAATTAATTTTATAAATCTGAGAGTTGTCTTCAAAAACGATCCAACAGATACCTTAAGACTTCGCTCGGGTTCTACTAAAGTGAATGTTTGCCTGTATAATTTTTTTGCTTATCCCTAGTACACGTGGTACAGGCCATGATAATCATGGTGGGTAGAAGTAGGTGATTGATTTTACTGTAAGTGCACCACATGTCTACATATGTGAAAAGCAGGATAAAATGGTTAACAATTGTTTATTATCAATAGTAATAATAATTGTGTTTTAAGGGAAAGAGATAAAATAATTCATTAATATATTATCCAAATAGATAATACACTAACAGAGTTTTCAGTTATAAAGTTTTAAACAATCTCCCCATCAAAGATACTGAACTATACAAAGCAGTTTTTTTATTTTTAGAATAAAGTTTAAATCTTTTGATTTAAGAATCTTAAATCTATTTAAGAATGAATACTCAATTATAAAAATAGTTTTAATTCTAGGAATGTTAATTTATTTCAGGTCTTTTACTAACAATAAACTACTGCCCATCTCCTAAATTAGCCTTTACTTCTATTTCAGACATATCTCACAATCTATGAATAGGGTGAATAATCCGATTTTCGATCTATATACCAATAATTTCGTTATGTTTTACTTCGTGTTACACGTATTTTTATTCTCTAAATATTAGTAGGTATGTTTTTCATTTATTCAATTTTCCAATCGTAGATTTTCTTGTTTCAAATTTTAATTTATATATTTATCATCACCAAATATTGCTTTGTTTTAAAACAAGTGTGTTGTGAATTGTATCAATTTTTAATGGTAGATATTCTGTCTTTCTAATTTAATTGTTAATTAATTTTCTAATTATATAAATCTCATAATTACCTCTCTGTGTAAATTTTCCTTGAGGATCTGCTCTGGATGGCCAGGATTTATCCGTGGAAGAGCATCATCTAAAGAGCTCATGAGAGCTCTGGGAGGATATGCCTTTTTTGATTTGAATACCAGAATCTGACCTTTTATTATTATTTTACTTTTAAAATTATTTTTTTCATATTTATATGCACCAAAGAAGGCACTTCTCTATTTAATTATTGTATTGGACAATTCTCTACTCATATATGCAACAATGAAAGGTGGAATATTAATTATAGTATTTAGGTAAACTATATAGATATTAGCTATTACTACATTAGAATTATATATAAAAGAAATAAAACTATTAATCACAAAACCTTTCTTATTCCAAATATATGATTAGTTTTATATTCCAAAAAAAAAAACTTATTTTTGAATATTTTCTCTATGAATTTAGTCATAGAATATTTCCTCCCAATTTTCTCTGTGATAATTTATTGGGTAATACTTGAGAACTTTATGAGAAAGGGAATATCCCATTAGCTCTATGTAATACGAGCCATTAAAACTTATGGCAAAAGAAAAACCTCTCTGTGGGCGGTATTAACTTATACCTTCTTAATTTATCGATATTTTTAATTGATTATTAATTAATTGGTTAATGAATGGTATATATAATAAAAGAAAAAGAGCATCTCTAGATCGTGAAATTGAAAGTTGTTGATGGCTTTCGCCATCTATCGTGTATAACTATCAACTAATCGTTGATTTTTATTATTATTCCAGAATTAGCCAAATACCTTTTCTTGATTAATAATTTTTAAAAAAGCTAAGGACGTACGCGTTTCGGGCTGTTTGGTCCTCACCATATATATTAAAGATAATAATAATAATAAGAAGAGAGTGTTAAATTATTATAGCCCAGTTAAACTTTCTTATAAGTATTTGCTACGTCTAAAACCACATCTGGATATAGAACAAAGGAAAAATATAGAGTTATCACTTATCATCATTATCAATCATCATTATAAACGGTTCAAAATCACTTTATTAGGTACCGCTCAACAAGAGCAACCTAGTTTATGATAATTGAAACAGTGAGTAATAAGTGAAGGTTATTCACATATTAAACAAAATGTTAACGCGGGATTCAATCCCGGTTCATGACTATCGAGAATCGAGGGTGTTACCTACTCGTCCACCGACTTTTTAATAATCATCATCAGAGGGATCAAGAGCCCCCCCCCCCCCCGTCCGGCCGCCGGCCAATCAGAGGGATCAAGAGGTCCTGGCGCGCGGGGGGCGGGTGACCTCCGGGAACTACGTCCATCTTCCATAAACGACCATTATTTTATTCAACTTATCGA